GCGCCTCTAAGCCCCAGGATCCCCCTGCGAGCGCCCCTGTGGGTCCCCGACGGACCTCCGCCCCCGCTCGGCCCCAGGAGTTGGCTGCTTAAACGCTCGGTGCGTGGACCCGTGCCGGGGCTCGGGGGGCCGGGGAGGCTGCTGGAGTTGGGCGCTGACAGCCGCCCTGGACCCCCGGCGCTCCCGGCAGGCTGAGTCGGGGCCCCTCTGGCCCTTCTTCGGTCTTCTGCTGTCTTCTCCGGAGACCTCAGACCTCGCACTCAGGGCCGAAGCCGATACCCCCAAATCATGCCCTGTGGCTCTGCTCCAGACCCGGGCTGCTTTCAGTTTCTCAGCAAACACTATTTTGACAATTCCAAGCAGGCACGATCCTTTGAACCTATAGAAGGGATTCACTCCCAACTCAGCTTTGGGGGATTTTTTTTTTTCCCCCTCATAAAGGAAAGTAGTATCCCTTCAAATCGAAATTGAATCCGCTCCTCCTGGATGGAAGGTCAACAGGTTCATGGGGCAATTCGGTGACTGTCACAGCTTCCTCAAGCCCAATTTGTGTGTAACTGTTATTTTCTGGGGCTTCCTTAGTAAAGAAACGATTTCAGTGGAGAATTAGTTTACAAAGGCGAATGGTCAGCATGTGGATATAGGGTTTAATTGAGTCCTTATGGTGCTTAATAGTTTGCTATGTCTTGCTGTGGGACTTGGAGAAATATGGGAGGTGTCTGACGACAGCGAAGTTGTCTTAACATGACTGTACACCTTGCACATGCTGTTGTTTACACACGTGAAGTGGCTGCTCTCCACAGGCAGCTGACTGACCTAAACATTAGGGGGCTGCTTCTTTAAGTTTAGAAGCATTAAAAAGTCAAAGTCAAAAGTCCTTGGATAGATCCATGTGCATTGAGCCATACAGCATAGGAACCACTCATTCATTCTACTAACCCAAATACTGTGTGCTAAAAACAGTGTTGGAGCCAGTGGATACCACAGTAAAACAACGGTCAATATGGGTGTGGAATTAGTCAGACCTCATCATTTAAATAAAACTTTAAAAGCAAAACCAAAATTTCCTGCAGATTTAACAGGTGGAGGAAAAGTCTCTGTAAACTGTACGTACTATAAATACTTGAATGAAGGAAGGCCTTTTTCCTTAGCCATTGAAAAAGGTTTGAAGAACTTCCCAGTAATGGTAACACAATAGAAAAAGTGGTAGACCTAGGACAACTGTGACATTTTAATAATGACTATTTGCAGTAATATACAATGAGGGGCCGCCTTTAAAACAAGAGGGTTGAGAGCTCCATATTGTTTACATGTTTTCTGCTGTATTTCAACTTCTCCTGTTTAAACAAACACATGTAGGTCATGACTGACACCATAGTAACCACTCTGTGTGAATTAAGATGATTAAGATGAAGAAGTGAGGTCATGGTTTAATGAAGATCTATTGTTTTACCTAATGGGCTTTAGAATTTGAATTTCCTTACTTTACAGGTTAGTAGTAGATACACTGTGTGTCATTTAGAGTTTTCTATGTAAATACAAAGCCAAACAGCTCTTCAGCTCCCAAATCTGTTGGATTCTCTGTTAAAGGTTAACAAAGGAACCTAAATCTTTTTACCTTGTCATGTCATGTATCAAATAAACATTTCAGTTCACTTGTTTCTTAATGATAATGGAGTTTTCGACTGAAAAACAAGATCATGTTTTTCCTCCCATTCTGTTTTTAAGGGCTGACTTGGAAACCTTCCAGTTATTTCTAAAGAAAACAGAATGAGTGGACTGGTTATAAATTAGGACGTTTGAGGATTCATGCATATCAAATTTCTGTTGATCATCAAATTTAAGTCTATACTCAATTCTGATTCACTTCATCTATTGCCTATTTTGTTTCTGAACATCTGGCCAATTTAGTCTCATTAAAAAAGTCCCACTCCCTACAGCCTGGGCTTTGTTGACAGTTTTGATAACCAGTGTCTACTGTTTCATAGCCTAACCTTTCGTGGACTTAACTGTGTTCATGTTCTCAGTTTGCACAGCCCTCTGAGCCCTGGCATAAGAGGAAGCAGCTGTGATGAAGAGTACTGGGTTGCAGCCTCCCCGGGATCCAGGGTCAGACCTGTCCCAGCTCTGCTCTGCTTTGGACCGGCAGGACATCCCCTGCTTTGAACTCCAGTCCTCCCATCTGTTAAATGAGTTTTGAAGACTTAAAAAAAGTACACAGTTTGTGAAACTCCTTATAAATCTTAGTGTCTATTCAAATATTTATTTGCCATATTGCTGCTATCACAGTTAACATGTGTGACTTATTCTTTGAGGAGGCAAGAAAGACCATTAGATTTGATGCAACTATAAACAAAAGCTGAGTAGTCAAAACAAGGGGCCAGTTGCTGCCTGGTCTTGCTTTAAAAAATCCTGGTGCTTTTAATCATGGGCAAGTGTTACTGAAATGGTTATCAGAAGTTAGCATCACTGTTAGCATAGCTGTTTTGGAATTCTGTTTCTAGGGGATACTAGAAAATTAAACTTAGGTATTACATAAATGTTGTCTGCATGATATGTCCATCACCTGAAAATTCAAACATACTATGAAAATGTTATTCCTGTCAAATTAATAGTCAAGAGTAAGAGGAAGGAAACAGGAACAGGGATCCTTCTATTACTAAGAGCTGACATTCAGTGTAATTTAAACAAAATCTGAGCCACCAGAGAACCTAACACAGTAGGCAATCACTGTTCAATAAATGCTGTCTGAATAAATTAAGAAGTGAATGTAAGCCAATGTATTCCATTCATTCAAAACCTACACTGTTCAGGGAGTGGTGGAGGCTGCAGGATAAGATGCAGCTCCCAGGCTTCAAGGATTTACAATGTAGTAGTCCATAGTAATACTCTTTTAAATTTGTAAGTGACTTAGAGGTTCCAAAGAACTTGGAGTTCTGTTCAAGTAAAAATATTTCTCTTGGACCAAATTTCAACTTTCTGTTTTAGTTGTTCACCTGACATATTAGCAGCTGTATTTTCCCCTGTGGTATTTTATGAAGAAGATAGTTGCCACTAAGTGAGAGAGTGCTTGCTAACTCAAATGGTGTAGACTTGAAAATTCTGGAAGCAGGTTATTAATAATGAAAACCGTCTTTAACAATTGCACTGGGAGGTCCCTGGACTTCCTGCTGTGATTCCCTACCCCAGACTGCCCTCCC